ACTACTAGATCTCGAACTGGTACTCTTCCTGGTCCTCGAGAACGATTCTCATCTGATACCTATATTCCACTTGCACTACGACCTGGTCGTTCTTCGTCTACCCCAAGTGATGCATGTAGTCACGAGACGAACTAAGGCGGCCGCCTTAGTTCTGGTAGGGAGGAAAAATGATACGGAATACGGAGCTACGTTTCGCGGGCCCCCTCTTTTCCATTCACTATTCCCTTACTACCCGGCTGGAGTACGAGAATCCGTTTTGCGGATATCCTCTTCTCCTGTCCGCTCCCCTGGTGACGACATTTACTTCTGGTTGTTGGTTTCCGGAGCCATAACGAAGTGAACGATAACTAACGTATTATGATACTGGTGTATTCTTAGTCAGCAAGTGCTCCCTGAGACTATTCTTACATGGATCTCCTATCGTTATCTTATTCTATGATCTCTTGGCCAACGCCTACTTCAAGTTCAACTTGCCATGGTTGTACGGTTTGGTTTCATGGCGCGTGACTTATTTTTATGGCGCGTGAAGTATCGCCCGTTTCTTTTGGTTAAGAGTAACCATCGGTTATGATGCAATGGTTGCTCCTTCTTTCTGTGGATTAATGGAATCCATTGCTTCTTTGGCAGTAACTCGTATTTACGCTATGTCGTTCTTTCCTTATCTACTTAAGGACGTATATGCTGAGGCCCTCTTAGCCTCCCCTACGCCCAAGAAGCTGAAGTAGAGAACTAATTATGAATGATGACTGTAACTTTCTTTTGCTTGTAGAACAATTAATGTAGATTTTATTTTTATGGTCGTATCTATACTTGTTTCTTTTGTCCGTTAAGGTCCTCTTGGGTTCGGACCTGGTAGGGAGGAATGTTGTGCCAGTGGCTCGACCATTGTGCCACATTGTTTCCTTGTCCCCCAATTTTCGGTCCGAACACAATTGTCCCTGCGTGCTAAGGTGCTGCAAAGCTAGAGCTAGTAGTAGCTCATACGTAGTTTGTAATCATAGTTATAAGTTGTAACGTAACGTATTCCGATACGTTCTACTCTATTGTACGTCCGCTCTCGTACAAGGTTATCTCTGCTCACTTGTCGTGTATTGAGTTCCATTATTAGGAGGTTACTATCCCTACAACGCTCATGTGTAGAACTCTCTTATGCCGGCTTCGTTCATGATCACCTCACGATGATTTGATCATCTTTGTTCGATCGGCCTCAGCTATTGTGACTCTCATCATGCCTCGCAGGTGCAATCCTGAGAACCTAGACCCAAACCAGCACATATTGGAGTACCTTGCATACGAGTCGTAGGCTACGACGATGACGGAGAGCCAGTGAAGAACTGGCGGTGTGTCTTCATAAGAGAACCGGGTGAACCGAAAGTACACACACAACACAACAACTGAGACTTCTGTTCCCATAAACGCAATTCAATTCAATTCAATTCCATTCAATTCAAGCTGATTCAAATCTTATTGTGGGCCATAGGCCAATCGCCCTCTCACAACAATGCCACTAGCAAATACTGCCAAAAATACTACGGCATACATTCAGCCTGGCTGATACTATCAGCTGTCTCGGGTCCCAGTGTGTGAATGCACTAATAAAGCTTCTCCCAGTGCGGACGAAGCCATCCAGCATAACGGCGCTCTCAGAGAAATCCAGAAATCCTGGAGCAGAATGCAGAGTACGACACTGTCGTAACAACAGTGACGAACCCGAGGTGAGAATTTTTTCCTGGGTGGGGTAGCATGTAAGTGGTGGCAGCTTGATCCCAGTTTCGATCTTGTTAGAATTCACCATCCAGTAACCTCCACAACACGATGAGGTACTGGGACCAGTGGAGTATGAACGCAACGTCACTGGCGGCCAGTTACTGGCCCCGTTGTGCAACTTGCGAATTGCGAACATCTCGC